CACACAGCGTCTCCCTGACATGGCTGCTTCAACACTAACTGCGGTTACTGAAACCACGCCTTCTTTCTTTGCGTGAACATTTGGGCGGCATTATGCAAATATTTCCACATAGTGAGGTAGATATGTGGGGGCGTGTTAGAACGAGCCATTTTAGGGGGGCGTGGCAGAGTCTTAACTTTGATAAAGAATATCTCAGGTTTTGAGACTTTAGTCTTTGCAACTTCAGCTTGTAACACTCCAAAGAGAAAGGAAAACTTGAAATCGCATCATATGACCCCTTTAAATATTTTATATGAGGTTTTTTTTTTTATTATTTTTGAAAGAAAGGAATTTATTCATCAGTGATGCGTTATATTGATCAAAAGTAACAATAAATACATTTCTAATGTTATGAAAGCATTATATTTCAAATAAATCTTGAACACCTGAAAATGACAGTTTCCACAAAAATATTAAGCAGCACAACATTGAACATTGATAATAATAGCACATTTAAGCAGCAAGTCAGCATATTAGAATGATTTCTGAAGGATCATGTGACACTGAAGAGTGCTTTGAATCACAGGAATAAATTACATTTTAAAATATATTCAAATAGAAACAGTTCAATATTAATATTTCACAAAACTTCTCTCAAAAACATTTCAAAATCCTACCAACCCCAAACTTTGGTAGCATGGAAAAGGCTGCTAAATTGGTTGACTAAAGCTAATGTGTGTTTCTCAACAGGATTGGTTTGCAGGGAGATGTTGCCGACCCCAGAACAAAGAGCTTCCTCTATATACTGGAGCTTCTGCCAAGGTCCGACTGATCAGTCTGTGCTCTTTTGAAGTCACTTAAACATTAATTCTCTGATATTGATTTCCAAATTTGAGTTTGCTCTCTTTCTTAATATTACTTCCTATGAACAAGCCACATTTCCTGGCAGTGTCCATTCTATGGTATTTTTGCACCATTTTTGCATTATTAATTCATGTCTGATGAAAGGACAAAGAAGCTTCCTTTCTCTCCCTCTCCATTTGCCCTTTCTCAAATCCGCTGTGTTATTCTCGAGCTCTGCCAGAGTTGTTTTTCCCCAGAACGTGATTGTGTAAGAATGTACCTCTCTTCGTCACGGCAGGCTCAGCAAGCGGCCGTGCTTCATTCTGCTGGAGAATGTGAAGGGCTTTGAGACCTCTGCTGCAAGGTAACCAGCGCGGCACAGGAGCCTTGAAATCACCATAGTTACATGGCTATGAGCCAACGGGGTGACTGGTTTCCCCTCTGTGTTTCTGTCACCATTGATTGTGCTAATAAGAATCTTATAGTTGTCTCTGCACATTAAACTGGAATGAATGGAAGTATTTTAATGTTGAAAAAAGTAAAAGCTTTACCTTAAAATTAGTCGTACACTCTTAAAAAATAAAGGTTCCGAAAGTGGGTTTTGGCATAGAAGAACTATTTCTGAGAACCTTTCAGTGAATAGTTCTTAAAAGAATATTTTTTAGAACAGATTAATGAACTAAAGAACCTTTTTTCCACTCCAAAGAAAATTCTATCATTTACTCACCCTCAAATTGTTCCAAACCTGTATACATTTCTTTCAGCTGTTGAACACGAAGGTATTTTGAAGAATGTTGATAACCAAACAGTTGACGGTAGCCATTGACTTTCATAGTATGTAATAAAATACTGTGGAAGTCAATGGCTACCGTCAGCTGTTTGGTTATGAACATTCTTCAAAATATCTTCTTTTGTGTTTTTCGGAAGAATGAAACTCATACACGTTTGGAACAAGTGGTATTTGATGACTTTGGGTGAACTATCCCTTTAAAGTTTCCATGGATGTTATACGTTCTTCATGGAACCATCAGAGCCAATATAAGCCAATTTTTAGTTAGTATCAAAAAGCGTAACTGAGCTGTTTTGGTCTTTTAATTTACAGGGATGCTTTGCTTAAGACATTGAGAGAGTGTGACTACAGCTTTCAGGAGTTTCTGATCTCACCAACATCTGTAAGCATGTCTCTTCATCTCTTAATAGTTTTGTATCCCAGTTTTGTTTTCATGATGGTTTTTATTGCCACAGCTTGGGATACCTAACTCTAGGCTCAGATACTTCCTCATTGCAAAGAGACCACCAGGATCATTCTCATTCCCGACTTCAGCAGAGGTACTTTTCTGTTTAGATCTATTCTAACTAATGCAGTTGCAGTTGAATACTGAAGCTTTTCTTCTACTGGCAGATTATGGAGGGCTTCCCCATGTGTGAATCACCAGACAGTCTCGCTGTTCCACACAATAATCCTACATCATCTGAATGTGAGAGAGAAAAGAGTGGGACGATCATTTTTAAGCTGGAGACAGAACAAGAGTTGGGAAGGAAGAGGATCCAGGACAGTCGGGAAACAGTTCGGAGGCTGCAGGACTTCCTGCAGGAGGATAAAGAAGACATGGATCAGTATCTGCTGCCCCCCAAAACCCTGCTCAGATACGCTTTACTGATGGATGTAGTTCAGCCCAGCTGCAGGAGATCAGTCTGCTTCACTAAAGGGTGTGTGCCTTACAATATTAATTTGTATTATGATAAATACGTAATTTATTTTATTTATAAATTTATTTATATATTCTATAAGAAATGAAAAAACATATAAATTTATATTTTTATATTTAATTTTATAATTATTTATTTTAAATGTATATATTTATATGATTATTAATATATTAATACTGTAATGAACATAAAAATCACAGCGATACAGTCTCTCATTCACAGACATGACTGTCCGAGAGCGAGAGAGAGAGTTTACAACACTTACAAACAATTGAAGCAAGCGAAAAAGCAGCATAT